ACGCGAGATTGTCTTCCCTTGTAAGGGAAAGTCAGTAGGGAGATTCGATATTCCGGCCTCGTCGCTCAGGTTTCCCGGCGCGGAATTATTTCTGAGGGGTAGCGGCGAGAATTAAGGCTTCTTGCGGCATAAAAAATCTGTGTAATCAATTATCGAACCTTTTACCCCATATTTCACGGCCAATGAGTCGCCACCCCGCCGGCGTCTTTAAGCAGGCGAGAGACTTACCGACCCTCTCCCTCGGTACTTTTTAGTTGCGATCCTTGGTCCTTCCTCCTCGCGGTCGCACCCTTATCTTTCTCCTGCTTCTCCGTTTTAGCTCTTCAGCAAGGAGAGGATAGCCGAGTCTTTGTTTGAGATATCAAATATTTATTTTCTTAAATAACGCAAGAAGACTGGTAGGGAAGATCACCAGCATTTTTTGTCTTAATAAATTATCAGCGATTATTGGCCTAAGCAAGGCGATTTCTTTTTCTTATTAATCTCTCTCTTTCTCTCTCTCTCTCTCTCTCCCTCTCTACAAGAAATTTCGTACCTTCTTGATGACCGCTTTGCGGTTAAGTTAACCAAAATCGATGTAGCTGTCCAATTGTGAGACAAATAGGTATGTTAAAGTATGAATCTACGTTGGAAATTTTCTATTAAATAAATGATAAAATCAAGCAGTTCGCACAAAAATACAGTAGAAGGAATTTCATTCGATAGTTATAATAGATGCGCGTATTATACATATCCTGGTTGAAACAAAGTATACTAGATACTTCTGGAAAAAAGGAGAAATGTTTCATGCAGAACAATGTAATTTGAGTTCGCTAAAAACGCAAAGAATTAATTTTACGGGCAAGTACACCATTTTTTAATTATCATACGGCAACACTCGTGGGAAATTACTGTACGAACAAAATGTGAATATTTTTGAAGCCATTTGGAGAAATTTCCAAATCCATCGGTTAACATCTCACCCGCTAATTATTCACGAAGCAGTCGCACGTTACTTGGTCGCTCGAGAAAGCCTCATCGAAGTGCAAAAGGGTAGACGTAAAGGGTGACGGCGAGAATGAGGAAGGATACGCCCTTTGACATGGTATTGATGTAATATTAATATAAACGGACGAAACTCAAAGGGCATACGTCTTCGTAACGAGTTCTTGTTCACGCGCACACAAATATGCGTCACGACAATCAAATAAACAACAAAGAAATTTGAGCAGAAAGGTAGTGGAGTGGTAATAAAGTATCTAATTTATTTTTCGATTAAATTAACATTAAAGAATAGTACTAATCTGTATTATAATTTCTTTGAAAAAGAGACATTAATAATTTTGTTCGCAATAAAATAATTTTTATAATATTTTCTAAATCAAGATTTAAGAGCGAAATATGTATTTTTATCGGAATAGTTAATAAAAAATTGACTCACCGTCAAAATCGTAAGGACACCGTGCTTCCTGCTTCGTTCGCGTCGGTTTTAATCTCCCAGGTATTTTGATGGCTTTCCGTTCGGTGATGCAAAGTAAGCAGGAAAGCAAACGTTATGACCCCAACTGAGGAGAGAGCAGCAGCCGTGGCGCGCGTGTACAACACGTGTGCGCACACGCGTGCGGTCTGGGAAAATAAGCGTCGAAGTGCCAGACGAAAACCATGAAAAAACTCAACGTCGCGTATATAGAACGTCCTGTATTTCGCCGTGAGCGGATTTTCCAACCTGGGAGAGAGGGATCGGACCCGCGAGAGACGACAACGTAGACGATGTCGACGACGACAACGACAGCGAGGACGATAGAGAGACTAAAAGGCACTTCTAATGGCATTGTGCGCGTTCAAACAAACACGTGGAATGCTTAGCTGTTTTTAAAATTGCGGTGAAGTCTCTGCCCTAGCTTACGCGCTTTTATTCACTTCTTGTCGCTTCTCTTGTTTTTTTCGGCTACATGAAAAATGGTTTTTTGCTGAAATATCTAAAAATTTAGCTGAAATACAGATCTGAAAATAATTTTGTTGAATTGTCAAAAATAATTACATAAGACGCTCAAGATTGTTGCTAAAGTGCCAAAATTTTTTGCAGCGTGAACTCCTTTTGAACTCCTTACATAATTATTCTGATAATACAATAAAATTATTTTTAAATCTATCTGCCTAAATTTTTAGATACTTCAAAATCGTTCTTTCCATGTAGATACGAAATATTAATGTGTTATTAATATCAGATCGTGTGATTTACGTTATAATCGACTAATTAATTGCAACAATTATGACTTCAAAATGATACATGATAAAATTTGATGATATATTAATATTACTACATAAAAACAAAGAGTTCAGAATTTAAATCTTATAATAAATTACCAAAATTTTTTATATTCCGATTGAAAGGCTATCGATAAACATACAAAAGTTTAACATTTTGTCTTATTTCTTGTGTCGACTTCTGTACACAAAGCACCAGCCATATAGCCTTTTCATTAATGCCTGAATGAATAAATGCCACTGTGCCCCTCCCCTGAATTCTTAATGCAGCAAGCTCGCTGAAAGTACTCCCGGGCCTTCAAAATATCTTTAAGAAGTTTAAAGTCTTCTCTCGATAGCATGTAAATATTGCATGTAAAGCGCGACATCAAAGAGATTCTTCTACGGTATAATGCTTTAAATTTCGGCACAAGGAGAGATTAAACAACAACGTGAGGAGCTAAACAATCTTAAAATGTCTATCAAGAAAATGTATTCGTCTTTTACGTTTAAGGATTAATGTTTCATTAAGAGGATTCTATCGATTAAAAATATTTATTGCAATTTTAAGAAAAGAAAAGTGTTTATGTATATCAGGAAAATTACACTTTACCGTTATTTATATACTTTATACTTTTATACTTTAAATCATTCGATGTTAAAAATAGATAAGGATAAAAATCAAAGAAAAAAACATAATACGTTTGTTATAAGTAAAATTATTTAAAAATTCGCCTATATACTGTGTCCATAATAATTACAAATTCTGTAATATCTTCAAAATTCTGTAATATCTTCTGTAATATCTTCAAAAGATCGAGCAATTCCACACATAGTTTTCCAGAGTTTACACAGTCACTCGTCACGCATAATCACTCTGAGTACCTGCAGGATAACGTTCAAGTATATTGCAGTAGAGAGAAGGTTAACGGAGGACGACGAAGAGAGGACATCGTTCATCCAGCAAGAACTGGGTTCGACGCTCGCCAAAGAGACCGCAGAATCTGTACTAGCCTCTCTACCAGGATGTCCCTGAAAACTTTGTTACATTTTTGGTCGAGTCCGCATATGCGATACGACGAGTAAGTGGATCAAAGGGACACAGGAGAATTCCGGGATGACAGAAGGAAGGAAAGAGAAAGAGAAAGAAAAAGAGACGTTGAAAATTGGCGGACTCTCCTATTGCTCTATCTTTGAGTACTTCGTTGTGCTTTCTTTCAATGTCGTAACGAAAAAACCTTTCCAAAGTTCTTCAGGATGCCAGGAACAAAGAGAATACGGAACGAGTGTGGTTAGCAATATAAAGAGTGAAAAGTGAATCGGAATTGGTACAGGAAAATTCCAGTTAAATATAGATATATAATTAATTGTTTGATGTTTGAATAAATAAAAATAGAAATAATTGTATTTAAAAAAATTGTGTAGTAATTATAGATAAAAGATTCATAATATTATCTGAAAATGTTCTAGTAAATTTTTTTCTCTGTCTGAAGTAAAAACGCTATATATTTAAAGAAAAGTTTCATATTAGTACAAAGAAACATATGTTACATACATTTGAAGAATTTCAATTTCTTATATTGCTAAAATCTAAATTTTGAGTATCGCCAGGTGCTAAAATTTTTCTTTGTCGCCGCGAGAAATTTCTAAAGGATTCTGAAAAAAAATTAATATTTCGTGGAGGACAGCTAGAGTTTGTGGTAACAGAGCATCAAAGTTATGCACTGTGCATGGAAATAACGTGTATGTGTGCTTCTTACGGAAAAATGAATTGTATGCTATGTAAGAGAAAGAAGAAAGTAGAAAATGAGAGAGAAAGATGAATTGAGAGGAGAGAAAGAGAGAGAGAGAAAGAGAGAGAGGGGGGGATGCCCCTAACGTGAGTCGCTCGCGCTAAAACCACGTTTAAAACAAAGGGTGCCGGCGGCGAATTAAGAACGATATTTTAACGCTCGACTTAATTGCATTAAATTGCAAGTGAGAAAGAGAGTTAACAGCGAAGAGAGCTATGAAAAAAATGTATGAACGTGCAAAGCCAAAAGGGATGAGAAGAGTGGCGAGAGAGCCTAAAGAAAGTGACCCTTCTAATCTTCGTGATTGGATATACGCGATTACACGTGAGACACATATCGTATTCCGCATATTTCCTAATATTCTATATCCTGAATATGTGAGAAAGAAAGGAATAGGCTTTTTGAATTGTCAATTAAATTAAGATGAAAAATATTTCAAAAAAGATAACTTTTTTCCGGTTATTATAAATTCGAATATATTTCAAATAGTAAGTAATTATGTAATATAATTAAGTAATTATATAATTATTCTAGATAATAATCTCAAGAAATAGATATCACGATAACACAATATAAATAACAAATTAAATTGGTATCAGAAAATATGTATATATACACATATATATGTATATTACTTGTACATATATGCATATTACTTTATATATTAACCGAATAATTTTGAAAGAATATCTATTTAATTTCACATGTAGCTTTTCGTGATAAATTGAAAAAATTGCAAATACCTAAATCTATAAATTGTATAATAAAGAATTATTATATAATAAATTTACGATAATTATATGAAAACTCGTGTTACAAACAAGTGTTTAACAAGACTAAGTCTTTTTGTAAAATACATCATACTTTATTCGATAACATTCGCCTTGAAGAGTCTTGCATTTATTATTAGAAAGTATAAGAAACTGAAATCAGATCAGACATATATATCTAGTTTGTCTAACAGATATTGGAAAGTAAATTCTAAATTCTGTGAGTTACATCATCGGTTTTGCAAACTAAACTCTCGCCCGAAGTTAAATCATAAGCTTCGTAAACTTTATTCTTGGCAGAAACCAAATTCTCAGTTTTGCAGATTGAATTCTTAGAAGAAACTGAACTCTCAGACTTGTGAACAAGTATATTCGAAGCGTTCGATACCTCGCGATGACTTTTTTGATGATTTCCTAGAGTGATAATACTTTTGAAATACCTGCCGCATTTCACACAGTAAAGATTATACTTATCATGACTCTTGCGGTGCTTGTTAAGCAGATCCTTACGCGTAAACGTCTTGTTGCAGATCGAGCAGCAGAACTTGTCGGGGTTCACGTGGAGAACATTGTGCCTCGCCAGGTTGTCCAGCCTCGTGTACTTCCTGGTACAAATGTCACAGGTGAACTTAGTCCTGTCGGAGTGACATCTCTGATGGTACTTCAAGTATCTCTCCTCAGCGAATATTTTTTTGCAGGCGCAGCAGACTATTTGATTACTTTCGTTCTTTCTCGCCTCCATATGATTTGTCAATTCTTCACACGTCACGAATTCCTCCTTGCAAAAAATGCAAACAAATTTCTTTTGTTTGTTCCTTTGTATATTCTTCACAAAGTTTGGATCGGTCATGATCTTATACAAGAAGGAATCCTTTAATTTGTCCTCTGGCTCGGCGGAGGTATCTGTCGTGATGTCGTCAGTATGATTGGAAGGATTATCCTTTGTTGATAGATTCATAACTTCCACGTTATTGTTGTTAATCAACGATGGTAACGTGCTGGTGGATGAAGAGAAGGTCATTCCGTTGTTCGAACTAGTAAACGTCGTAATTGGAATAAGAATCTTTGAAGGTAACGCGTATTCCTGTTAAATAAAATTTAAATAAAATTTGTCTTAGTACATAGACAAAAATAAAGGACATAAATGCTAAAATCACATGCCAATTTTTATATTCACATACATATGAAATTTCTTAGATAATCTAATCATGCAGTTGTATTTTTCTCATAATCATTAATTTCGATAATTAAGTAAAAATTAATTTTACAATGTATAATAGAATAGAAAATATCATAATAATTATCTACCTGACATGAATCTTGAACATTTATTGCACCTATAGAATCATAATCTTTTTCAATATCCGCGTCACTCTCCTCTGAAGAACTTCTTGATGCAGATGCAATCTTAATACTGCTTTGGAGCATTCTATGTCTTGGAACTGTTTTAATTCTCATATTTGTACTGAAAGAATGGTAAATAATTATAAGATTAATTTTATATCGATATTATTAATTTTACAATAAATTAAAATATATATAATTCTCTTTAATATTAATCTAACATTATATTTTAACAGAAAATAACTCTTTAAATTAACAGTATCTCTAATAAATTTAAATAATCTTATAGAATTTCTAATAGAAAATAAAGAATAATCCAATAGACTTATTTGAAAAATGCAATGAGAATATACTATATTTTTGTAACATAAACTTGTACTTACTTGTATTTAGAATAAGCGAAGATAGAATGACAAAAAGTTTCTCGTTATTATAATTAAAAATGTTATTTAACACTTTGGACACATTCCACTGATTCGTGTAATCTTCGTAGCACGATACATTCTATATGAAATACCTATCGCGACTGACAAGACTTATCGCGACTAACTTCGAATTGGCTGTCGCTCGATTGACCTCGGTACGACTTTGATGAGCGACACGACAACAAAAGCCCTAGCGGAGTCGCGGGAATTAGAATCCGAGTTTGCAAACATAGGTATAGTCTCATATTCGCGGAAATGGATTATTACGGAGGCTACGTTTTTCAGCATTATAAATTCTTCCGTATAGACATACTTAAGCATACAACGTATGTTTACACAGAATCTATAGATATATAACTTCTGTAATATTAATAATGTTTTAACAATGTATAATAGAAATCTTGCATAATATAAAACTGTAGACATATTTGTTGCGATAACAAATTAATTTATTTTTTCGATAATCTTTCATCATAATTATTAAAAAAACATCTACATTTTTTATAACACTTTGCAATCCCAATATATTCAAATAAAGTATGATGAAATAATTATCCTGTACAAAATAATAAAAGTAATATTAAAATTTATAATATGTTATTTAATATACTTAAATCAAAAGTATCAATAGATTTTGTATTGATTCTGCATTTATCTGAGTTGACCATCTCAATTATATGGAAGAATAGAATATTTTCCCTCTCGGATATATTTTTATATATAACCTATTTATATGTAACCTATTCGTTCTACAGAGAACAGTGCTGTCGCGCCGAATAAAGTAAATTGACACGATGCTAAAAAAGATATCGCGACATCGAAATAAAAGAGAGCGTAAAGATAAAAAAAAATGCGAAGGGGTCAAGCATATAATTGGCAAAAAAAAAATATTCTCGCTGTTTAGTACGATATCCCCGTAGCGATCCTTGCACAGTACCGGTCGTTAATACGACATAAGGAGGAGCCAGGGTTAAGCGAGGGTGAAGCGAGGATTTTTAATTGTAGTTCGCCCAATATAACCCCGCCCGACCAGTCGGTATTGTCATACCGGGACGGCGCTTTTCTTTATTTCCCCAGTGGCTGGATGAGGTTATACATTTTTTTTAAACTACGGCAATGCCTCCGTCTTCTTATTAGCAAAGCTAATTGGAAATACAAATGGTTATTCACGGTAAGAAGGAGAAGGTTGTGCCGAAGAGTGACTGCGTGGTCGTAGCCGGGGATTTGAAGATAGAAAAAGAGAGTGTAGGCGAAGGGAGAGGCAGTGGTTCACTTCTGCGTATTAAGGTTGTATTTGCTCCGGATAATTAGGACTTTTTCCTGGCCAATTCGGATGAATAATTGATTTTGCTGTTCCCCGCGCAACTGTCCTGACGCGCCTGTCGCTCTTGGACCTTTTCGAATGACAATCACCCAGAGAAAAATACGGATCTTCGCGATGAAATATTCAATACCTCGACGCAATATTATGCGTTGAGAAGAAAAAACACAGGGTGATAAAACATTCCCAAATACTATAAGGTATATAATAACGACAAGTTGGGCATTTTACTTCTGTAGATCAAATTATTCTAATAAAAAATATACTATTTTTAATAAAAATGTCAAGCAGTTTATATTTTAGACTCTTATATTATAAGAATTGATTAAAAAAAAAAAAAAGAACTTGTGAAAAATAATAATTCCCTAACATTAATTTTCCATTAAAAAACCTATTTTTAAAAAATCTATGAATAAATGGCTTGATAAAACATCTTGCGTAGAAAATTATTTGTCGTAAAAAACGCGGATTGAATTTAATAAGCATTATTAAAATTTTTTTCTCCGCAAATAATATCCTCGTGACTTTTGACGGATCGTAATAAGAAGAGGATGATCGACTGTATTCTATGAGCGACGAAATCCAACGAGTATTTTCCACCCCTCTTAGATTTAACGGAAAGTTTCCCGCAATTTTGTTGGTAACGTGAAAGCAACGTCGAACATCTCGCGAGACATTTTGACATCCAGTACATCACGTCCATTTCCTTCATCTAGTTATATTACGTATACAATATCTGTGTATCGAAGCTGGTTGATCCTGGCAAGTTCCCTTCCTCGACGCCGGGCCATACATCATACTACCTTCTTTATTAAACTCATATTTTTCAAAAAGTCTCACCTTCGCTATCTGACGCGCCTCCTCTCACTCGCAACTCGGAAATCAGCTCTGGGAGAACGAAAAATTCATTTGGCACTCAAAGATAAGATGGATATGAAAATTTTTATGCTAAAAGTGATTTACGCTCACGGATATCATTACTATCTTTTTATCATAAATAATGTATCTTTCATAGATAGATAAATGTCTTGATTTAGTAAAAATTATATATATTTATGTATTGATATAATTAATACAAATTAAAAAATTTAGATTGTAAAACTTATAAAGTCTGAACGTTCCATTCGATCCTCATTAATCGACTCACAAATTCTTGACAAAATAAATTTTTCGTGATGGATATATATATATATAGGGATCGACGAAAGAATGGCGGAGATCCTTTTAACGAGTCACGCTTCAGAGGATATATCGTACAATGAGTTCGTTGTCTCTTCGTAGCGCCAGAAAGTTAGGCCACTTTCCTTCGACGCGCGGAGGAGAGATTGGCCGTTTAGCGGGCATAAAGAAGAAAGCCACCCCCTTCAGTTCGCCTTCTAGCGCACCCTTCACCACCTTACCATCGTCCGCCCCTCACAGCCCAAAACCGCGGACGGTTATAAAGCATTCTTCCAGTTTATTAGACGGAGACTCGTGGGCCTCTCTTTATATTAAGCATGTGCATTATTAATGCGCCGGTATAACCGTAAAATGCTGATGAAAAAAAGTTGCTGAGCCCCGCGGGTGTTTCTTCTGCGGCAAAAGGCGAAAGAAGGAATGAGCTCCTTCAAGATTGTTACCGCAACTTGACTGACTGACTCTTCGACTCGTCGTGCAAGATTCAAGCATGAGAATAAATAGAATCGAAAGAAATACGTATAATGTAAATACAATCATAAACAATTTTAGGATAATAAATTGTTTTACAAATCAAAACTCTGATAATGTTAGACGTGAAGAGCCCGCTCTTTCGAAACGCAAATAAAAACTGTGTCCAACAATATCTTCAACTTTAGTAAGCAATCGAAGATGGAGCATCATGTTTAGTAACGATCGATTGGTATGTTTTTCTGCTTCAAAGTTAGAGCTATCTCACGCGATAAGACAGCGTGGCAATCTGGCGCAGCGCAGGAGTTACACGCACCAGGGATTTCCATGGAAATCGATGACACCCTCGACAACGTAACTTTGGACGGGAGAGAATCGCCGAATAGGATGCCCGTAACTTATCCAGATAAGGGGTTGTAAAACGATGCTGTAGCTATCTGCCAATACGGTCTACTCTCCCCCTTCTCGCGAGAGGGAGGGCCTGCATCCAGGTTGCGGGTAGATATAGGAAGCAATTTCCCAGAAATTGATGCCATTTGAATATCGCCTGCGCCACGACACACGCTTTCAAGACGATGCCGTTCGTAAAGGCGTTTACACGATTGTCGGAGATCTCTATCCATCCGTGCGCCGCTTCCTCGACAAATACTACCGAGACACATTGGTATTATACGTTTCGTGGATCGTATATTCCATTGCGGACTGCGCGAGCAGTACTTCATGAGGAGATGGCGCGACTAACGTAAACTGCCGCCTGTTTCTCGATATTTGTTTCCTCGCCGATTGTAAGACAACTCCAGGAGGTAAGATTAAAATAGTCAAGTTCTTCCGATGTCTATTATTTTCGTCAATTTCATGAATTATTTCATTACTCAAACGTTATATGTAAAATTAAGTTAAATAGCTTGTATTTATAGAAAACCATTTTTATACACATTATTTATGTAAGTGATATAATAATAACTTTATTGAATGTAAACATTAAGGAGATCATCAAACAATTCATATATAAATATGATATAAAAGAATTCTTTGCAGACAAAGGCAAAACTACCATTAAATGTTGATTTTATTTTTAATTCTATATCTTAGTATTAGATTTAACACATGACGTGATTAATAATTCATTAATACAAACAGTAAAAAAAATATTACAAATATTCGCCATATAAATTATATATAATAATTAGAAAATTTGTGAAGAGTTAGAAAAGAAGTGATAAATGCAAATATTAAATCATGATATAATTCTACTTATATTAGAAATAAACATCAATAATAATGTCTGAATTTTTCATGAATTTCACGTGAATGGTAAAATTATTTCATATCTCTCATCGAACGTCAGATCATTATTATATTATTCGCCAAAATACTTCCGGATAGCTTTAATCAGGGCATACTTTTATCCCGATGCTTGTGATTATATTTGGTGACTTCCAGATACGTGCCGGGGTTACGTGACGTTGGTGTTATCAAAGTCTTGTTTATCAAGTGCGTTGCTACAGTCGAAGTATACACACAGACATGTACTTGCTGCCCGTCAATGGTGCTTCTTAGCTTATGCATAAAGCCCCTTTTGCCCATCACCCTCACGCCCCGCCGGTCCCGGTCTATTCGCATCCACCTCCCGCAACCTCCTCATCTTTCACAATTTCATCCCCGGCGTTTCATCGAGGCTTCAACCCCTTCTTCGACCGGTAGTAGCAGATCGGGGTGTCTTGCTCGCTCGCTCGCTCGCTCGCGAGTATTTCCGCAGGATGTATCGCAAAATCTATAGCGGTCTGAGGGGCGGAACGAAGAGGTAGAGGATGAGGAGTGAGCGACGGTGGCGGAGGCCAGGGTGGTTTTCGAGAAGGGTGAGCCCCGTCACATTTCACTACAGACTAATAACTTCTGAATATTCATTTCGTGTTTCTCCTTGCCTGCTTGCGAACCCGTAAGCAAGGCTAATGCGACACTCACAACGGAATCCGTGACGTTCTTGAAAATATGCCGAGAACAATAATTAAATTCTAGTAATCGGGATCGTCTTGTTAATCGCAAAGCGGATAAAAATCTTGATGACGTAAATTAGGAAATATATGTTTTAATTAAATCAAATATTTAGACCGTTCAAGGGAACAATTGGCACGTTCGATTC